TTTTTTTTTTTTTTTTTTTTTTTTTTTGTGACTGACTGAATGATTTAGACCTTAGACTTGAATTTGTTTATTATACTGTAGTTTTGTGTCTGTACTTAATTAAAGCTATAATAATAATTTATTTATGATTTTTTTTCTTCACAGTGAAATTACACCCGAGGGTAGAAGGATCACAAAACTAGACCAGATCTTGCTAAATGGAAATAATATAACAATGGTAAGTCGTCATGTGAAGAGATTGTGTGCATTTATTTTCTGTACTTGCTGGGTTCAGTTATGGCTTTATTGGCCACTTGCAGCTGAGTTTTCCATTGCATGAGCTACTTCACGTGTATGCATATGACTGAGGCTGGAGAAGCAACCTTATTGCCATACTTGTCACATGTTACAGCTTAAAATTTGTGAAAATAGGATGACCATAACTTCGTTTTGGTGAATCATCTTCTGGTCTTCACGTGTCATAGAGTCACTTCTGACTTTGGAACCTTTTTTGTAGCCTTGTTGATGCAAGGGCTTTTAGCTCACAAGTGCTTGGCCGCATAACTCTGTAGAGTAGGATGCATTTGAATTGCATCCATTATCTTACACGTGGATGCTCTTGCAGCAGTTTGGATACTTGCACTCTTGTCAAGTCATTCAGCTATTAAAATAGCTTCTAGTGCCAAGCAGCAGTGCCTGTGTGTGGTCTGATAAAAGATGTGGAGATCTGGTGGGCTATACTAAATTGGAAGCACTATCACACAGAATCACAGAAGGGTTGAGGTTGGAAGGGACCTTGATTTTAGTTCTCTGCGTGTTGATATATGTAGATCAGGACCAAACCAGTAATTGAGTATTTATTGTGATTGCGTATCCCTAAGCTGAATTCTGCAACTTCCTGGGCACTTCACCACAAAAATGGACCTCTTAGTTGTCTTGCTTATTTGCATAGATGGCCTCTCCAAGGTCAAGGCCTCCTGTATCTGAGTAGAAGGGCATTCCTGGCTCAGTGAGAAGAGGAAAGACAGATTTTAGTCTAGATTGACTCCCTAAAGGAGGAATAACATCCACATCTCCACCTTCTTACTCCATGTCCCACCTCTCTGAGGGAGTGCCATCTTGCCTTAATTCCTAAGCCTTTTCCACTTCAGCTCTATTCCCCTGCATCCTTAATGGACAGCACATACTGAGACTTCTTGCAGGGGGTGAAATTATAGTCCTCCAGTAGATGTAGCAGGCAATATCTTGCCCTTAAAGCAGAAGTGGCTGATTTTTAGAGTGCAAGTCCTGGAAAATACATCTTGTATCCATTTTTTTAGGCAAATCTTCTCCTGTTCTATTAGAAAGTATGCCTTAGGGAAAAAAAATCTTTGCCTTTAGATGCCTTCAGCTAATAATGAAGAAAATTTTGATAAAGAAATGTTTGAGTGAATATTTTTCCATAGTCATATATATTTTTTTCTTTTTGTATTCCCTATGTGTTGTTCCGTTCCTTACCTTCTTAACTGGATAATATTATATTGCCTTGCTTTGTTCTATGTTTAGAAGCATGCAGGTTCTTCATAAGCCTTTGCACTCTATTTTGCAGTAAAAATTGGAAAGAGGAAACAAAGTTCCTAGTGTAGCAACAGTCTGGGAATGTCCTTACTCTGTGTCCTTTGAGAGATGAACTGTAGTCTTTGTAGGTGGAATCATCTTGAACTGAGTTAACAGATAACATTGTGTATACTAGATTAAAAAAAAAAAAAATTGTCATCTAGGAACATTTTTTTGTATTCTGGAGTTGTGTTGACACCTATGCTTCCCTGGCAGTTACTGACCCCCTCTTTTGGGAGAGTAATATTGTATCAGATTAAAAAAAAAAAAAAAAAAAATCCCAAACAAAAAAGGCATTTTATGTTTTGCTGTGAATTTTCCATCTGCTAAAATGTTAATCGAAAAGCGTCAGATGCAGGTTTGTATAACTCGCATCCATGGTACTAACACAAAACTGTCTTGTTCTTTTATAGCTGGTTCCTGGAGGAGAAGGACCTGAAGTATAAATTGATCCATGTCATCTATGAAGACAAGTTATATATGTATTCTAAAGAGAGCTTTTTGGGGTATGGGGGTGTGGGGGGAACGTTGTGTTTTGTTTTTACACACTTTTGAAGTTAATATTTGATAAAAGACAAATTTCCTCTTCAGGAAAGATGCATTGCTAATGCTGACTTTGTAAGTTGAAATCATGACTTTCTTGTAAAGGCACACTAATCTGTTCTGAATAAAAGGCTTTGTTTTTGTTAATTACTGTGCTTGGTTATCTCAATGCACAAGTTTGAGATGCTTTTGCAACTGTTCCATGCCATGGAAAATAATAGCTTGTGTTCCAGTTGCTGTCAATCAGTCTATAGTTTTTTATATTTGTTGCGTTTTTTTATTTCTCAAGTCTTTGTAAAAGCTCCTGAGCCAAGACATTGTACTGCTTGGGAGTACAGGCAGACGTTAGGCTGGACAGTTTGTTTAAACAGTACTTGAAACCGAATCACCTGCAACCAAGGTGAATGCTATGAAGTGTAGGTGAAGCCTGAGAAGTTTGCTCAGTGGATGTATCTTTTTGAAATTCGGGATCCTCTGGTTCTTCAGTAGCCAGGTTTGGAAGGGACCCCTAGATCATTTGGGTTCAGCTCTCTTGAACTTCTTTTGCTTAGTTGATCTCTTTCTTACAGTAACAATGGAATAATCATCATTAATAAGAAAAGACCAGGCCTAGTTCATGTTCAGGAAGAAGAAAGGTTAGTTTTACAACTTCACACTCATGCTACTGGAGGCTGCATTTTCACCACTAAGTGGAGCTGTACATACTTAAGTTAGAAGCTGCCTGGCCTTGCTGCTGTGGTTTAGAGTTGTCATCTCTGAGCAAATCTATTCTTTGGGGTATTCTGTGATCCAAACGCAAACATGACAAATATTGGAGGTAACGTCTACTTAGGGAGAGATTCCATAAGGTAAGGAACTGGTGTCTTTATCACCAGTTTTTATCACCGTTTTATTGTGATGGACAAAAAACTAACATGATTATAAATTATGCTCCCTGCAGCTTATGATTCCGTAATGTCCTGCTCTACTAATTTCTGTGTTTAAATGTCTCAGGACTATCCCAACTGCCTGCTGGAACTGCAGAGACAAGCGGAGCAGTGTGTGGACTCCTAGGGATAGTAAATGCCTTCTCCCCATCACTAGAAGAGGAAAGAACTTTTGAAGAAGATGGCTCAGGAGCAAGACAGTGCAGGGAGGTTGCATTAGATCCTTTTGCTCCCCTTTATCCATCTCAGGAAAAGTCTTTGACTGGTTGAGATCTATCCTGAAGTATATTGGGAGGTATTTTGGCATTCTAAAGGGGAAAGTCGTCCTCTCTTCCCACCATGGAAACACCCTATGTTAACATCCAGTATTAAACTGAAGAGAGGGATTTCATGCTTAGGGGAGAGAGAGAGAGAGAGAGAGAGAGAAGAGAGCAAATCTTGCTTCAAAGCAACATTTCATAGGCAAGGGAAACTTGTTTTCTTTTTGTTTTGCCAGCATGAGTATTATGTTCTCTCAAAATTTTGTTATCTCTGGAATAAAAATTTGTTATTGCTTCCCTTCTTGTCTGTTATTTTTTTCTTTTTTCTTTTTTTTTTTTTCTCTCACCCCCTTCAAAAGAAGTGCAAAGACTGTTTTCTCTTAGTAAGATATTCTGATTCAGGACTTTGAGGACTATAGACTATAGAGTTGAAAGACATTTTTTGTGCATCAAAATGCTGGAAAAGGTTTGTGACTTTGAGCTTGAAGTTCCAATTTCAGTTCAGTCTGCCTTGATTTGCAGTTCTCTTGCGATATTCGTAGTACTTTTTGCATTGAAAGAACAAGTGATAAGATTTTCTATGAAATGGACAGTTCTTGTTTGCTTGTTTTTTTATATTTTTAATTTTGGAAGTGTAGTGTTTAGGGTAGCAAGATATTAATGTATTTTAAAAGTCTTTGAGACTGTAATGTAGTGGCACCCAGTTTCCAGACAGTAGCTGTCTGGAAAACCAGTCAGTCATCTAAAACAGAACCCAAACCTTAGGTTCTGAAAATAAACAAACCTTAAAAGTTAAAAACAAGACTTTCAACAGATCAAAATAACTATGCATCTGACGTACTTTTTTTTCTTCTTTTATGTCCCCTTAAGGATTGCACTGGCTGCAGTGATCGTTAATTTTCCTGCATGACTAAGGGTACTGGCTGGTCATGTGGATGTGGTTCCTTTCTGCCTTCTGTCTTCTTACTTGCAGAAATTTGAATTCTGGTGCTGGGAATGTTTGCACTGTTCATTTAACTATATTAAAAATAATAGAAAAACTTTAGCCATTTTACTGCTTGCCCTGTGGCTATATAAGTTTTCATTTTTCCTTGTTTATTTTTTTGTTTTTTTACAGAATTCACTGTGATGGTTTGTTTTCACTATGTGAAATAACCAAAACTCCTTGTTTACTGATGACTTTGACGTATGTTTTTAATGCTTAGAAAATTGCGCCAGCAGTTCTGTCCTGCAATTTCTGTGAAACTCAAGCAGTTTTCATGCCTATGTTCAAATATAAATCTTAATTCAAACTTGTACAGTCCATGACTATAGATATATGGGTACTTAATATAGGTGATAGTGGTGTGGCTTTTTTTTTTTTTAATAGTGTTTTTTTTTCTTTCTTTTTTTTTTTTTTTTAATTTCCTCTACAGGAACTATCAAGTTGGTCTGTTTGTATTACTTGCATTTTTTCTGTATTTCCAAGTTTTGAAAAGGAGAAAAATTATGAACAGTTATGCACAGCGCATAATTATGATGGTGATTTTAAAATACCAGATTGCTTAATATTAGGAGAAGAATGAGAATCAGCATTGCTAACGTTTGCTAAAACGTTTCTAAGAGGGAAGTATTTGCTTTATAAGTGATACTTGTGAACCATTTCTGATGCTTTTTAATTGGAAAAAAAAAATACACTGTTGTCAGTGATTATGCCCGATTAATTTCTTTTCACATGTGAAAACTGATGAGAAGAGAACCCCACATTTGAAGGAAGATTTTGTTTACTTAGCCTAATTTAACTGAGGAGTTGCTACTTTAAGAATAATTTAAAAATATTTGGAGTTGATCAGGAAAATTCATCACAGGCTCCTGTGTCAGCTGTGAGTTTGGAATGTGGTCAGGAGGACATTCCAGGTCTTTCTGGGGTCTAACGTGTGCATTGCCAGACCGGTGTGGGTGAGCTGGCGGGCTGTGCTTCTCAAAGGCACAGATGCTCCAGGTTTTGCTTCTTGCAGGGCACTGTCTCTCTCACTACTAGTAACTGCACAGTTGGGTAAAAGACAAAGTAGCTGAATGAAGTTTTCAGTTACCAAAATAGCTGTCAGTGTTTCAATACTATGTGGCTCCTTTCCATAACGGTAGTGTTGGCACGTGCCTTTGAGGATTTTAGAGAATTCAGCTGCTCTCTTCTTCAACTCATTTACACTTTTGTCTCTCACTGCATCCCTGACAATGCTTCACACATCTTGGATGAAAAAGTTGCCTTAAGAAAAAAGATTGGGAAGGAGAGGATAGAAAGTCTGTTGTGTGACACTATTGGAGACTGCTCCATCCCCTGTCCTATTGACCCACCGTCCCTTCCTAAATCTTTTTTTAGAGCTCAGGCTTATCCTGCTCTCTGTACTTTCAGTCATCTTGAAGCCTCTATATGTAGATAAATGCAACTATATTATTTTTCAGAAATTGGGTAGTCTTTATACACAAATACTTTAAAACTTGAACATATATTTATGCTTGTTAACAGTTGCTCTTTTTCAAAAGCAAAATTAATGTTAAGTAGGAAATATATTGAAAGTAGCTTTTGGGGCCCAAATCTTGTTCGGTGCCCAGAGATTCTTGGTGAAAATTGAGGCCTTTTATATATACAAAAGGACCGAATAAAGACTGCAATGGAGAGGGTCGCTGAATCCTTGGTCTGGAAGTTGCACTGATAGTGACATTAAAGAATTTATGCTCATCAGCATAAATGCAGCCCCTAGGGTGAATTCAGGACTTAGGCAGTAAGACACGTTCTTTTCTTACAGTCTTGCAGTGCTGCATGCAACGATAGAGCTGTTGCATTACCAGTTGTAACGAGTGCAGTTTGCTTCAATGCCTGAAAAAAGTATGTAATTTAAATGTGTTTGCATATTGCATATTGGCTCAAGTGAAATAGGATCTTGTAGCACAGGTAATCTGAAGCATGTAATGACTCTGTATCCTTGTGGTTTGTAGATGGAGTGAGGGGATTTGTTAATTATCTGTAAAATATTTATTTTAAATATGAGCAAAGCAGTATAACTGGAACACTTTCATTTTATGATAGAAAATTATATATTAAAGCTATATATATGTAATGTAGCATTATTTATCATTATTTATATTATTATCCCATTTCATAATTAAGATATCTATTTCTTGAAGACAGTGAGTTCAGCCCAAGTACTGAAACACCTTGGTTTTGTGAACAATATTATAATTTATGTAAAACTTCCAAGTGCTAACTATATGTTCAATTTATGCTTATTATGTTTGAGAAACAACATGATGTCCCACAAAAAGCTACGCACTGCTGCTAGTTGATATTTAGGGACTCTGCCTTTTCTGTGCTCCAAATTATAAATACTAAATAATATAAATAATGTAAGAAGAAAAAGATACAGTGAAACTGTGTGTGTCGAAGTGTGTAAGTACGCGCCTTATATTTCACAAAATTCAGCATTAAACTTTCTGAGCGGTGTTTTGGCTAAGAAACATAAGTGGTCAGCTTTGTATTAAAAATATATGTGTATGTGCTAACTATGCAACTGCACGTGACAAGTTACCAGGCAACTGCCTGCTCCCGAGGTGGCAGGAGGCACAAAGCACCTGCTCTGGCCCTCTCGCCCAGCGGAAACCTACAGAGCCTCCCGTCACATCAGTGATTATCCAACCTGCAGATAAGGTTATTACTCTGCTCTTCTCGCAGTGGGAGAAAAACTCTATGTGCTTCTGAGGGTGTCAGAATCAACGTGATTGTCAAAATTTCTAAAACACTAATTTAAAAACTAATTTACACCAAGCCAGATTTCAAGGGCTCATTCTCAGTTACAAGTTTCTTTACAATTACACTATTGTGTAGGCAGTGTTGGGAATGAGCGTCTCGTATGGGACACACTTCAAAGTTTGTTTTCAGTGTCCTAGACCCTTCTGCTGCCTTGATGTCTTCATTTGCTCGTGGTCCCTGGCACCAGGCCCAGGGCACATTGGTTTCAAGGTGCTGCTCTTGATAGGTGGCCTGTGTTCCAGCTGCCATCGTGGGCATTGTTTCCATAGATAGCGAGAAAAATATGCAAAGGATCTTTTCCTAGTAATGCTGCATTTGTTTTAATCAGGAAGAGAGCTCCCCCCATCCATTCTCTACAGATGTATTTTCATCTAGAATATGAAGCTTTTGCAGAGTTCTTGGCCTATCTAGTTAGAGATTATTCAGTTTGTAAATGTGTATATGTGTATCTGCCTGCACATACGCTGATTATTAAGCAAATGTTTAATAGGCACCTGTTACAAAAGTAACTATGTTGATGGTTATGGTGCTTGTTCTCGATCAGTTTTGCCTTCTATAAATGGCTGATGACAGAAAGGGGATCAGAGATGAGTTAGATTTTGTGCAATATTTTTTGTATGGGGGTATGTGAGAGAAATCTAAGAGAACATAAGCTTGGAACGATGATTTACATAGTATCTACAGTGATCTGTGCACTTGTTTTTTTGCAAGAAACTAAGGTGCTGATTTCTACAAACAGTTTTATGTGAATCACTTTATCCACGTGTGATCTCCTTCCACCGGGCTTACCAAAGAAATTAATTCATACGTGTCGACCTGTGCATATACATATACACACAGTTGTAAGTGGCACAATTGGGGACATAAGTGTTTGTGGTTGGTGACCATAGACATATGCAGAGGAATGGAAAGAGAAAAATCTTGAAAGGTGCTCTGGTGTCTCTGAGCCTGAAGGTGAATGATCAACTGTCTGCACCATTCCTGGCAAAAACTTGACTAATTATCCTAACTAATTATTATTACTTTTGCAAAGTTGTTGTTGTTTGTTTGTTTTCCAGTACCTACCATAACTTTTCCAGTGTCCTTGTACAGCGGGTGTGCAGAAAAGTCTTCCATAAAGCTCCTTTTTAGATGCATAAACGCTGATTCTCTTCAGACTTCTCTGCTAACACAGCAGCCCCATGGGCTCCTCCCAGTTAACCCTTGTT